GATTTCGGGGTCCTACTGCTTTCACTATCGGCCAAGTCGGTGGTTGATCTCCCTGTAAACCTTCTTGCGTGGCCCAGGAGCTGCACCAAAGTCAATCTGGATGATCTTCAACTTGCCGGCCTTCTCAGTCTTCTTGAGAATCTATATCAGTCTGAAGACATTCGGGTGTTAAATCCCTCAAGGCAGTTGTTGGTCCTCGGGCCGAAGGTCTCAGGATGGTCCCACAAAGACAGCCTAAACAGAGAATCATCATCCCCGTAGTGACCATGTAGTCGTTGAAGGCATAGGCCCTGGAACATCAGGGCAAGTTTTCATACATCAATCCAAGTCACCCTGGACGATTGCAAGAGGAAGCAGATGCGAGGCAGGTGCACTAGGAATCCGCTTCTCAACTTCGGGGTCGTCACGGTGTCTTTGAACGAGTCCGAGGGCTTGCACCTTGCGCCATTCAGCCGACATACTGTGAATGTCTTGACATTGCATCTCCAGTGCACATCTCTTGTTATTGTATACATGACGATCAAAGAGCATCCGAATCGTGCCTCTCTGCGATGTGATGAACTCTGCTTTCTGCAAACCCGCCGTTATTGTGCAGTACAGACAGTTTGGGAAAACTGAGTTGAGTCTCAATTTCTGTTTCTTATTTTGTATTGATTTACTCACAATAATGATTAAGCCACACCATTAACTATGCACAAGGAGACTCTTAATATTATGTGAGTAGATCAATTAAAAGGGATTAAACTTTAAAGTCAATGCTGACCTATGGGAGTTTGATCTTATTGTGCTTGAGATAAGCCATTTAGGCCTATTCCATTATCAATGTAGGTGGTCCACCCCAACTCTACTGTCTAACTTGTTGGGTGTCTGACTATGGAGGTATCACCGGGAAATGCCAATCCCTTCTTGATATCTCACCTCTTACTCCATCCAATTCTAGGGCAGAAATGATCTATCATCAACATTTACTACCACTTTGCTTACTGAACTTAAAGTCCGTATGAACGCACAGCAAATTGCACACTCTAGCAAATTGCACACCCTATGTAGATTTACTCATGCAAATTTGCACATGTGTATATGTTTGCCGTATAAACAAGCCTTAATTGACCTGCCTTATGAATGACCCGCTGTATAACTGACCTGCTGTATAACTGATCTGCCTTATTTTTTATTTTATGTTTGTTCTAATTTTCTCCAGAGAGTCTCAGTATAAGGATCAACCAACTCAGTGACATGTTAGTACAAACCCGTGCTCTTCACAAAGCAGAAGATCTTCTGAAGAGGCACAGCCATGTTGCAATCTGTGGAGCCCCTGGAGATGGGAAGACTACTGCTGCTCTCAGGATCTGTGAAACGTATATGAAGAAAAACTATCAAGTATTGTTTGTTGAAAATATTGAAGAGTTTGACATTGATGTCATCATTAAGCGAAAGTGTGACATGTTGGTTGTGTTTGATGATATCTTTGGTTCTGTTGCATTTCCTAGCAGCTTGGAGAAAATACACAAAGTGTTCAATGCCTTGGTTCATATTTTATTTCGACTTAAAAGAGACGAGGAGCTAGCAGCCGAGGAAGAAAGAAAGAAGAAAGTGAAGAAAGGTATGAAAAAGGAAGATGAGAAGAAATGTAATGATGAAACGACAAAAAACTGTCACTACAAGATTCGCTTCATTTTCACATCCAGGAACTACAACTGGAATGAGGGCTGTGCAAGACTACATCAGTTCAAAGTAAATCTGTTAAAACCTGAAACCATTGTTGATATGATCGAGACATGTTTAACCACTGAAGAAAAGAAACAGATCATGACATTGTTCAGGACCAGAAGCCAAATCTGCGATATCTCCGATAAGGACATGAAAACTATTACAGAGTTAAAAGACAGCATGTTTGGATATCCTTTGACCTGTAAACTGTACTTCACCAACCCAGTGTTCCAGATGCACAGTCTTGGAGACTTTTTCCTGAAACCGGTGACATACCTGAGAGGTGACCTTGACACCATTGTCCGTGAAGGCAGCAGCAGATCGGCTGCTCTGATTCTCCTGGTCCTGTGTGGAGGGAAACTGGACCTTGCTTCCTTGATGTGTGGGACAGACAAGAAGGTCACAGATCTGTTTCATGTTGTAAAGGAGAAGGTAGCACCATGCACTGATACAGACATAGAAAGAGAGATAGGCAATTTTACCGGCACCTACTGTGTCGTGGAGAATCATATGGCCTCCTTTTCACATCCATCCATCCACGATGCTGCCGCATGTGCTTTTGGGAATATCAACAGTGTTTTATTAGTAAAACACTGTTCCCTTCAGTTTTTGTATGAAAGAGTAAGACCATGCATGACTGATGCTCAACAGACAACCCAAGCTGATGATGTGACAAACATGATCTACATCACTTCTCGTCTTTACCAATTGATGATCGACAGGCTAGTAGAAGGTATCCGTGAAGATTGCTTCAGATGGACAGTAGGCTACCCTGTATTCAGAAACGATGAATTAGCATCCTCACTGATGACGGAACTGAAAAATGACTTGCCTCATATAGTCCATCGAAAGGACAACACATCTGGTGAATGTTTTCTATACTGGACTTCCTGTCTAATAATGATTTACTGTTCCGACAGTCGTTATTACTGATGAGTAAAAGGAAAATCTCTCCCCTGAAAATGTCAAAGACCTGTATGAGAGTATGTCAGGGTTGCATAAAGGCTGACAAGATGGGGAATCTGCAACGTATTGTTGATGTGCTAAAGCATCATGGAGAATATCATGCAGACAGAAGGATGGTGTCAACAAAACACTGCTCATAATTGCTGCAGAGGCTGGACAGTTGGATGTGTCTCAACTTTTACTGCAAGGAGGAGCAAATGTTTTATTGAAGGATAGGAAGGAAACAGTTGCCTTCATCATGCGTGTATTTCAGGAAAAAGAGATATTGTTAAAGTTGTTGTTGAAAAGTTTCCAGGTATGACTGATGATTGGAATAATCGGGGTTTTACATCTACAATGTTGTGTGCTGAGACAGGACAGGAGGAGATACTCAAGCTCCTGGTGTCACATGGTGCTGATCTCTCTGTTAAGACATTTGAAGGTCAGACTTGTTTGCATTGGGCATGTGCGAGTGGTCATTTATCAACCGTACAATATTTGTTGTCTTGTGAAACTATCGACATTAATGAAAGAACACTATTAAACACAACGCCGATTATGATGTCTGCTGAAAGGGAGCACTCCGATGTTTATCACCTTCTTGTGTCAGAGGGAGCTGATGTGTCACTTACTATTGAGATCGACAGAGACTGTCTGATGTATGCATGTGAGGGAGGTAACATGTCTATAGTTAGGCACCTACTATCTTTGGAAAAAATCAACATCAACAGGACAGATCACGACAACATGACACCAGTCATGATAGCAGTTACAGCCGGACACTCTGATGTTTATCACCTTCTTGTGTCAGAGGGAGCTGATGTGTCAATTACAGATAACAGGGACAGAGACTGTCTGATGTATGCATGTGAGAGAGGTGATATGTCTATAGTTAGACACCTACTATCTTTGAAAATAATCAACATCAACAGGAGAGATCACTCCAACATGACACCAGTCATGATAGCAGCTAAAGCCAGACACTTTGATGTTTATCACCTTCTGGTGTCAGATGGAGCTGATGTGTCAATTACAGATGACAGGGGCAGAGACTGTCTGATGTATGCATGTGAGAGAGGTGATATGTCTATAGTTAGACACCTACTATCTTTGAAAATAATCAACATCAACAGGAGAGATAACAGCAACATTACACCAGCCATGATAGCAGCTAAAGCCAGACGCTCTGATGTTTATCACCTTCTTGTGTCAGAGGGAGCTGATCTGTCAATTACAGATAACATGGGCAGAGACTGTCTGATGTATGCATGTGAGAGAGGTGATATGTCTATAGTTAGACACCTACTATCTTTGTACAAAATCAACATCAACAGGACAGATCACGACAACATGACACCAGTCATGATAGCAGCTAAAGCCAGACACTCTGATGTTTATCACCTTCTTGTGTCAGAGGGAGCTGATGTGTCAATTACAGATAACATGGGCAGAGACTGTCTGATGTATGCATGTGAGAGAGGTGACATGTCTATAGTTAGACACCTACTATCTTTGTACAAAATCAACATCAACAGGACAGATCACAACTACATGACACCAGTCATGATAGCACTTGAAGCCGGACACTCTGATGTTTATCACCTTCTTGTGTCAGAGGGAGCTGATCTGTCAATTACAGATAACAGGGGCAGACACTGTCTGATGTATGCATGTGAGATAGGTAACATGTCTATAGTTAGACACCTACTATCTTTGGACAAAGTCAACAACAACAGGACAGATCGCTCCAACATGACACCAGTCATGATAGCAGCTAAAGCCGGACACTCTGATGTTTATCACCTTCTTGTGTCAGAGGGAGCTGATGTGTCGCTTTCTGATGACATGGGCAGGGACTGTCTCATGTATGCATGTAAGATAGGTAACATGTCTATAGTTAGACACCTACTATCTTTGAAAACAATCAACATCAACAAGAGAGATCACGACAACATGACACCAGTCATGACGGCAGTTCAAGCCAGACACTCTGATGTTTATCACCTTCTTGTGTCAGAGGGGGCTGATGTGTCGCTTTCTGATGACATGGGGCAGAGACTGTCTGATGTATGCATGTAAGAGGGATATTTAGGTAACTATCTTTACAACATGGGAGATGTCACATGAACCTCATGATAACAGTTGAAGCTATAGTTAGAGATGGGAGCTACTATCTTACAGAAAACAATTAACATCAACAGGAGAGATCACAACAACATGACACCAGTCATGACGGCAGCTAAAGCCGGACACTCAGATGTTTATCACCTTCTTGTGTCAGAGGGAGCTGATGTGTCACTTACTGATGACATGGGCAGAGACTGTCTGATGTATGCATGTGAGAAAGGTAACAAGTTGACATGGGTGTCAAGAACCTCAGATAACGTGTCTATAGTTAGACACCTACTATCTTTGAAAATTATCAACATCAACAGGAAAGATTACGCAAACATGACACCAGTCATTGAAGCAGCCAAAGCCGGACGCTCTGATGTTTATCACCTTCTTGTGTCAGAGGGAGCGGATGTGTCACTTACTGATCAAAGGGGCAGAGACTGTCTGATGTATGCATGTGAGAGAGGTGACATGTCTATAGTTAGACACCTACTGCCTTTGAAAACAATCAACATCAACAGGAGAGATAACCGCAACATGACACCAGTCATTGTAGCAGCTAAAGCCGGACACTCTGATGTTTATCACCTTCTTGTGTCAGAGGGAGCTGATGTGTCAATTACAGATAACATGGGCATAGACTGTCTGATGTATGCATGTGAGAGAGGTAACATGTCTATAGTTAGACACCTACTATCTTTGAAAATTATCAACATCAACAAGAGAGATAACAGCGACATGACACCCGCCATGATAGCATCTAAAGCCGGACGCTCTGATGTTTATCACCTTCTTGTGTCAGAGGGAGCTGATTTGTCACTTACTGATGACAAGGGCAGACATAGTCTTATGTGGGCATGTGAGAGAGGTAACATGTCTATAGTTAGGCATCTACTATCTTTGGAAAAAATCAACATCAACAGTAGAGATCACAACAACATGACATCTGCCAGGATAGCAGTTGAAGCTGGACACTCTGATGTTTATCACCTTCTTGTGTCAGAGGGAGCTGATCTGTCAATTACAGATAACAGGGGCAGAGATTGTCTGATGTGGGCTTGTGAGAGAGGTGGCATCTCTATAGTTAGGCATCTACTATCTTTGTACAAAATCAACATCAACAGTAGAGATCACGACAACATGACACCTGTCATGATAGCATCTAAAACCGGACGCTCTTATGTTTATCACCTTCTTGTGTCAAAGGGAGCTGATGTGTCACTTACTAATGAGAACGGCAGAGACTGTCTGATGTATGCATGTGAGATAGGTAACATATCTACAGTTAGACACCTACTATCTTTGAAAACAATCAACATCAATAGGAGAGATAACAGCAACATGACACCAGTCATTATAGCAGTTCAAGCCGGACACTCTGATGTTTATCACCTTCTTGTGTCAGAGGGAGCTGATGTGTCACTTACTGATCACCAGGGCAGAGACTGTCTGATGTATGCATGTGAGGGAGATGACATGTCTATAGTTAGACACCTACTATCTTTGAAAACAATCAACATCAACAGGAGAGATCACGACAACATGACATCAGTCATGACGGCAGCTAAAGCCGGACACTCAGATGTTTATCACCTTCTTGTGTCAGAGGGAGCTGATGTGTCACTTACTGATGACATGGGCAGAGACTGTCTGATGTATGCATGTGAGGAAGGTGACATGCTTACATATGTGTCAAGAACCTCAGATAACGAATCTATAGTTAGACACCTTCTATCTTTGAACATTATCAACATCAACAGGAGAGATCACGGCAACATGACACCAGTCATTATAACAGTTCAAGCTGGACACTCTGATATTTATCACCTTCTTGTGTCAGAGGGAGCTGATGTGTCACTTACTGATGACATGGGCAGAGACTGTCTGATGTATGCATGTGAGGGAGGTGATATGTCTATAGTTAGACACCTACTATCTTTGTACAAAATCAACATCAACAGAACAGATCACGACAACATGACACCAGTCATTGAAGCAGCCAAAGCCGGACGCTATGATGTTTATCACCTTCTTGTGTCAGAGGGAGCTGATGTGTCAATTACAGGTAACATGGGCAGAGACTGTCTGATGTATGCATGTGAGAGAGGTGATATGTCTATAGTTAGACACCTACTATCTTTGTACAAAATCAACATCAACAGAACAGATCACGACAACATGACACCAGTCATGATAGCAGCCAAAGCCGGACGCTCTGATGTTTATCACCTTCTTGTGTCAGAGGGAGCTGATGTGTCAATTACAGATAACATGGGCAGAGACTGTCTGATGTATGCATGTGAGAGAGGTAACATGTCTATAGTTAGACATCTACTATCTTTGAAAACAATCAACATCAACAGGAGAGATAACCGCGACATGACACCCGCAATGATAGCATCTAAAGCCGGACGCTCTGATGTTTATCACCTTCTTGTGTCAGAGGGAGCTGATTTGTCACTTACTGATGACAAGGGCAGACATAGTCTCATGTGGGCATGTGAGAGAGGTAACATGTCTATAGTTAGGCATCTACTATCTTTGGAAAAAATCAACATCAACAGTAGAGATCACGACAACAGGACACCTGCCAGGATAGCACTTGAAGCCGGACACTCTGATGTTTATCACCTTCTTGTGTCAGAGGGAGCTGATCTGTCAATTACAGATAACAGGGGCAGAGATTGTCTGATGTGGGCTTGTGAGAGAGGTGACATCTCTATAGTTATACATCTACTATCTTTGAAAACAATCAACATCAACAGGAGAGATAACAGCAACATGACACCAGTCAGTATAGCAGTTCGAGCCGGACACTCTGATGTTTATCACCTTCTTGTGTCAGAGGGAGCTGGTGTGTCACTTACTGATCACCAGGGCAGAGACTGTCTGATGTATGCATGTGAGAGAGGTAACATGTCTATAGTTAGGCATCTACTATCTTTGTACAAAATCAACATCAACAGGAAAGATCACGACAACAGGACACCTGCCAGGATAGCACTTGAAGCCGGACACTCTGATGTTTATCACCTTCTTGTGTCAGAGGGAGCTGATGTGTCACTTACTGATGACATGGGCAGAGACTGTCTGATGTATGCATGTGAGGAAGGTGACATGTCTATAGTTAGACACCTACTATCTTTGAAAACAATCAACATCAACAGGAGAGATCACAACAACATGACACCAGTCATGACGTCAGCGAAAGCCGGACACTCTGATGTTTATCACCTTCTTGTGTCAGAGGGAGCTGATGTGTCACTTACTGATGACATGGGCAGAGACTGTCTGATGTATGCATGTGAGGAAGGTGACATGCTTTCATGGGTGTCAAGAACCTCAGATAACGTGTCTATAGTTAGACACCTTCTATCTTTGAACATTATCAACATCAACAGGAGAGATCACAACAACATGACACCAGTCATTATAGCAGTTCAAGCCAGACACTCTGATCTTTATCACCTTCTTGTGTCAGAGGGAGCTGATGTGTCACTTACTGATGACATGGGCAGAGACTCTCTGATGTATGCATGTGAGGGAGGTGATATGTCTATAGTTAGACACCTACTATCTTTGTACAAAATCAACATCAACAGTAGAGATGACAACAACATGACACCAGTCATGATAGCAGCTGAAGCCGGACACTCTGATCTTTATCACCTTCTTGTGTCAGAGGGAGCTGATGTGTCAATTACAGGTAACAGGGGCAGAGACTGTCTGATGTATGCATGTGAGAGAGGTGATATGTCTATAGTTAGACACCTACTATCTTTGTACAAAATCAACATCAACAGAACAGATCACAACAACATGACACCAGTCATGATAGCAGCTGAAGCCGGACGCTATGATGTTTATCACCTTCTTGTGTCAGAGGGAGCTGATGTGTCAATTACAGATAACATGGGCAGAAACTGTCTGATGTATGCATGTGAGAGAGGTAACATGTCTATAGTTAGACATCTACTATCTTTGAAAACAATCAACATCAACAGGAGAGATAACCGCGACATGACACCCGCAATGATAGCATCTAAAGCCGGACGCTCTGATGTTTATCACCTTCTTGTGTCAGAGGGAGCTGATTTGTCACTTACTGATGACAAGGGCAGACATAGTCTGATGTGGGCATGTGAGAGAGGTAACATGTCTATAGTTAGGCATCTACTATCTTTGGAAAAAATCAACATCAACAGTAGAGATCACGACAACAGGACACCTGCCAGGATAGCACTTGAAGCCGGACACTCTGATGTTTATCACCTTCTTGTGTCAGAGGGAGCTGATCTGTCAATTACAGATAACAGGGGCAGAGATTGTCTGATGTGGGCTTGTGAGAGAGGTGACATCTCTATAGTTATGCATCTACTATCTTTGAAAACAATCAACATCAACAGGAGAGATAACCGCAACATGACACCAGTCATGATAGCAGCTAAAGCCGGACACTCTGATGTTTATCACCTTCTTGTGTCAGAGGCAGCTGATGTGTCGCTTTCTGATGACATGGGCAGGGACTGTCTGATGTATGCATGTGAGCAAGGTGACATGTTTACATGGGTGTCAAGAACCTCAGATAACGAGTCTATAGTTAGACACCTACTATCTTTGAAAATTATCAACATCAACAGGAGAGATAACCGCGACATGACACCCGCAATGATAGCATCTAAAGCCGGACGCTCTGATGTTTATCACCTTCTTGTGTCAGAGGGAGCTGATTTGTCACTTACTGATGACAAGGGCAGACATAGTCTGATGTGGGCATGTGAGAGAGGTAACATGTCTATAGTTAGGCATCTACTATCTTTGGAAAAAATCAACATCAACAGTAGAGATCACGACAACAGGACACCTGCCAGGATAGCACTTGAAGCCGGACACTCTGATGTTTATCACCTTCTTGTGTCAGAGGGAGCTGATCTGTCAATTACAGATAACAGGGGCAGAGATTGTCTGATGTGGGCTTGTGAGAGAGGTGACATCTCTATAGTTATGCATCTACTATCTTTGAAAACAATCAACATCAACAGGAGAGATAACAGCAACATGACACCAGTCATTATAGCACTTGAAGCCGGACACTCTGATGTTTATCACCTTCTTGTGTCAGAGGGAGCTGGTGTGTCACTTACTGATCACCAGGGCAGAGACTGTCTGATGTATGCATGTGAGAGAGGTAACATGTCTATAGTTAGGCATCTACTATCTTTGGACAAAATCAACATCAACAGTAGAGATCACGACAACAGGACACCTGCCAGGATAGCACTTGAGGCCGGACACTCTGATGTTTATCACCTTCTTGTGTCAGAGGGAGCTGATCTGTCAATTACAGATAACAGGGGCAGAGATTGTCTGATGTGGGCTTGTGAGAGAGGTGACATCTCTATAGTTATGCATCTACTATCTTTGAAAACAATCAACATCAACAGGAGAGATAACAGCAACATGACACCAGTCATTATAGCACTTGAAGCCGGACACTCTGATGTTTATCACCTTCTTGTGTCAGAGGGAGCTGGTGTGTCACTTACTGATCACCAGGGCAGAGACTGTCTGATGTATGCATGTGAGGGAGGTGACATGTCTATAGTTAGACACCTACTATCTTTGAAAACAATCAACATCAACAGTAGAGATCACAACAACATGACCCCAGTCATGACGTCAGCGAAAGCCGGACACTTAGATGTTTATCACCTTCTTGTGTCAGAGGGAGCTGATGTGTCACTTACTGATGATATGGGCAGAGACTGTCTGATGTATGCATGTGAGGGAGGTGACATGTCTATAGTTAGACACCTACTATCTTTGAAAACAATCAACATCAACAGGAGAGATCACAACAACATGACACCAGTCATTATAGCAGTTCAAGCTGGACACTTTGATGTTTATCACCTTCTTGTGTCAGAGGGACCTGATGTGTCAGTTACTGATATTACAAGGGGAGAGACAGTCTGATGTGGGCATGTGAGAGAGGTAACCTGTATATATGGCTTTTAAGAACCTCAGATAACGTGTCTATAGTTAGACACCTACTATCTTTGAAAAGTATTAACATCAACATGAGAGATCACGACAACATGACACTCGCAATGATAGCAGCTAAATCTGGACACTCTGATGTTAATCACCTTCTTGTGTCAGAGGGAGCTGATGTGTCACTTACTGGTGAGGAGGGCAGAGACTGTCTGATGTATGCATGTGAGGGAGGTAACATGTCTATAGTTAGACACCTACTATCTTTGAAAACAATCATCATCAACAGGAGAGATCACGGCAACAAGACACCAGTCATTATAGCAGTTTAAGCCGGACACTCCGATGTTAATCACCTTCTTGTGTCAGAGGGAGCTGATGTGTCATTTACTAATTACAGGGGCAAAGACTGTCTGATGTATGCATGTGAGAGAGGTAACAAGTCTATAGTTAGGCACCTACAATTCCAGTAATTCTCCAATGAACCAATCATTAGTTGAATGGCACCTACCTTCAAACAATTTGTCTAGAATATTCGGTGATTTGGTGTTAGTCCTTCATGTATGTGAAAAGTGAGTGAGTGAGTGAGAATGATTCATTATTGCTTAACCTCACATTTGTTCCAATATATTTTAAGTGTTATGCCTCTTTGAGATCGTTGTAGGTTTGCTTGTAGTGATTGTTGGAGGCAGGAAATAACTGAAACAGTCGTGAAATATTGAGCGTTGTTACTGAGTGGCCAATCTTCACCAGAAGTGTGATTTGGAGTTACCTCCCCTGGCATACAAGATTTGATCATTCCAGAAGTTATTGATGTGTCTGTTCGAAGATGGTGGGCTGTATAAAGGGGACAGGGTGGCGATGTGAGGCTTTTAATGATCTGAATTATCTCTTTGCCAAGGGAGAGACAACTTACCTATCTGAACAGCTCAAATACCTAAGAGTTTCAAGAACACTTCATTTCCACCAGCAGAGTATGTGGAAGCTGCGAAGGCTGAGCGGGTTAGGCGGCTGACTTTGTGTGCTGGCCATAAGGTGCCTGGCTCTGGGGCTGTGAGTTTGAATCCCGGATGGGACTCAACCCAGCAAAAGTACTAGAATCTGTACTTTACTGAGAAAGTTTAATCCCAAGTATAACATGTTACATTTGACCACTTTCTTAATGGCATTGTGTATTCATAGCAGAGTGTGTGCCTCAGTCAAGACATCTGCAGTGATTGTCAGGAGTGCAGGTGTCATGTCACCCATTGGTATTGCTGCTTTCACTTATTTGATATATTTGTATTGCCTTATTTGTTTCTGTGAATCATGTTCATTTTTCACTGATCGTGTTTAGTTTGTAGTTCTGTACAAAGTTGTTTGAGAGTTAACCCACTGTAGTAAAACAATACAGAACCCAACATGTTAATGTTTTGCAATGGAAGTTGTTGTCCATACGTTTTGTACAAATTGCTGTTTTCCCTATTTCTACTTGTCCTGGGAAACCTGCTATTTTTTCTTTTTGATTTTCATTCATAAACCTGTGTAAAATAGCTTGTTATGTTGTCAGAATCATACAATGTACAGTGTTTAGTTTTAAGCAGTTAGTTCTCATGTTTATGGGAAAAGTTTTCATGAATATTATTATTGATTATGTTTACTGTCAAACATGACCACGATTGTACCGATGAACATGGACAGATTGTGTGTTTGTGTGTATATACTTTTTGCATGTATTTTACATATGTTTATGTATATAATGTTGTAATGGGATAATGTATTCAGATAAGAAGCACGGCCATGGTACTGACAATAGCGAGCACAGCACTAACCAACATGGGCGGATACTGACAAACATGACCACCATTGTACCAATGAACATGGACAGATTCTGTGTTTACTTTTTGTATTTTACATATGTTTATGTATATAATGCTGTAATGAGATAATGTATTCAGATGAGAAGCACGGCCATGGTTCTGACAATAGCGAGCACAGCACTAACCAACATGGGCGGATACTGACACACATGACCACAATGGTACCTATGAGCATGGGCAGATACTGATGTTCATAAGGACAGTGCTGACTGACATGGGAACAGGGGCAGATACTATGTTCATAAGGACAGTGTTGACTGACATGGGAACAGGGGCAGATACTATGTTCATAAGGATAGTGTTGACCGACATGGGGACATGGATAGATATAGAGATTACTAAACGAGTGTCTGTCAGATATCATTTATCTTACAAAGAGTTGTTTCAAAACGTATTTAACGAGCGAAAGCCTGACTGTCTGACAGACACGAGTACAGTAATCTGGTTTTTTTACGCACCATTTTATGGTCGAATAGATTCAAATTTCCTATTTTCTCCTCGTAGCTGTGCAATATGAATGAGTGACGTCACTTGGCGTCCCAATCACTGCTCATCCCAAAGGTAACCCTCCACAAAAAAGTTTCTGCCACATCTTCGCGTCATCAAGGCAGTAGTGATAATGCCAAGTAGATAAGATCAAAGAAAATTAATTAAACACTCTAAAACGATGATGTTACCATGAAAATGTGTGCAATTTAAATTCTTGCAAGCAAAAAATATTTGCCAGTCTCTGTGACGATGCACATGCCTACGGCGTAAATATGCTATACAGGAGTTCATCCTGTGATTCAAAGGCAACATAGGTTTCCACATCAAGATTGTCAGTCATAAACACAAAAAAATCGTTTCTCGCAGTGTGAAGTTGTTCACAGTGTAGGAGTATATGAAAATCATAATCATAAGTATATTTGTTGCATAGGTAAGATTCTTTAGATATTTTGCCACGTGATGAGATTTTAATACATATTTGGAGGGCAGATTTATAATTGGGATGCAAGTATGCCAATTGCCAGAGGATATGATAGTTTAACTTGGAATGGACCCGTGCATAAAGCGTCATGTTTGTATTAATTGAGGTTTGTATAACCCATCTGTGTTCTTCATAGCTATGTACAGATGTATTTACAATTTTTCGCCATTCGTACTCTTGAACTGCAGTCAGACTTGTTGGTCATATTTTGTTATTGTTTAGGTAAGACCTTGCATTATATTTTTCATGTGTTACTTGACGTGCATTTAATGTATGGAAGGTTACTAAATAGATTTTAACTTATATGTAACGTGTATGTAACTCTTGTCTATGCAGCAAGCATACTTAATAAGTTATATTTTGACATTGCAGAATAAGTTATGATCAGAAATACTAGACTTTGACATGTATATGTAACTTGCTATTTCATAATATCATTTAGGTAGTTCTGTTTATGTAATTGTAATATACCTCAGGTATACATGTAATCTATAACCATGTTGTCAATTTCTCAAATATGTGTTTGATTATGACCGACCGAGTTTGGTTTTACGCCGCTTTTAGCAATATTCCAGCAACATCACGGCGGGGGACACCAGAAATAGGCTTCACACATTGTACCCTTGTGGGGAATCGAACCCGGGTCTTCGGCGTGACGATCCAACGCTTTACCCACTTGGCCACCCCACCGCCCCGTTTGATTATGAATATATACTAACGTCATTATTCTTGTCTTTACAATAAACACTCTTGAACTGCAGTCAGACTTTTTGGTCATATTTTGTTATTGTTTAGATTTAGATAACTTGTGAGATACAGGGAAACGGCCCGATCTCAATTCGAAGGGAATCCCGGTCTTTATCTTTAACAGCGATTTTCACATAATTGTTTTAACACACAGGTTTCACTGATTGTTCGAGAGATTTTGAATTCATGACTAGAGATCAAAGGTTTTAATAAAAGGAATTAGAAAATAAATAGATTTGTGTTATATTTCCTACAAATTCTGTTTCATTGTGTAAAGGGGTTTTTTTTGGCACGAGTAACAGGTATCTGTTCGATTGAAGCATGAGTAACTTATCAATGAATTATAATCAGGAAAGTAGTCCGTCATAACCTGACCCTAAGTCATCACCATGGAGTAGCCAATCACGACTGACATGGGAACATGGGCAGATACTGATGTTCATAAGGACAGTGCTGACCGACATGGGCATGGTATGGATCCAGTGATTGAGTATTGATCTATGCATCTGTGATATCTAAAAGTCAGGCCTGATACTGACAATCGTGAGCCTGGCACGAACCAACATGAGCATGGTAGCTATGAACATGGACAGATACTGACGTTCTTAAGGTCAGTGCTGACCGATACAGTGTTGACGAATACAATTTGGGTGTTTATGTGTTAACTTTATGTATTTTACATATGTTTATGTATATAATGCTGTAAGCAGATAATGTATTCAGATGAGACGCACGGCCATGTACTGACAATCGTGAGCACAGCACTAACCAACATGAGCATGGTACCTATGAACTTTAGTATCTGTCCATGTTCTTAAGGAGAGTGCTGACCGATACAGACATGGCATGGATCCAGCGATTGAGTATTGATCTAGATACAATTTTGATACGATAACATGTCAGTCAAGTCACAACTTCTGATGCAAATCAATCTTCCATAAAAACTACCATTTGTGTTGTTCATGAACGGCCCTGGATACAAAACATGGGCTCAGTATTGACCAACATGGTCTGATCCAGGATCACACAGGATGAGGGAGTCCGGGTGATCACTTAAGAATTTAGAAAGTAGGTCAATCACCAGTCTCTTTAAAATCCTGACAGTTCCAAGTTACTGGTTCATCAAGTAACACCTTACAAATTGAAAACAAAACAGAGACAAACTTCTTTTGTTGGCTTTTATTCCAGCAATCTCATAATAAAACTTACTGACAAGCATTGATGATAAAATATCAGTTAGGTGAAATAAGCACCTTCTTTTGATAAGAAAGTAAGAAAGTTTATGGATAACAACTACTTTATTATATATGATGCGACGTTTCGGTATGGATTCTTATACCGTTGTCAAGCAAGAGTGAAGTACTACAGCACAGAACAGACTTATATACATGAACAGGGATTAAGTAATAACGACATGTAGGACTGAATGAAGGGGATTAACAATAACAACAAGGCACGGTGGCAATAATGTATCGACAATAGGAAGCCCATGGTGGTGGAGGTAAAAAACAAAATATACATGCTGATGAGATTAATTAACAATGATGGTTGAGGTGCTCTAATCTGTTGTTTTTATGAGATCATTGTATGCAGAAGGGATTAGATATCCCTGGTCTCTGTTGATTGAGGGCTTGTGTCTCCGGATTTGAACTGCTTCTGCAAGTTTCTTTTAGGTGAAGTCCTGGTGGATTTTGGATAATATGTCCACATTGTCCCAAATTATGTTGTGATTGGGGCAGTTGATGATGTGGTCTGATATTGCCGATTTTCTATCAGATTTAGTGGTAGATGATAAGTGTTCTGTTATCTGTCAAAACAGAGAAAATGAACCGGTTACTTCTAGCAAATTATTGGGTCATCTACCACATTTGACAATGGAGGAAAAGGGTCACCCATCACTGCCAGACTACAAACAGAAAACTGTGGAGATCCAGAGTTAGTGATACAAATGAAAACACACATTACAACTTGTGAACATCCACAGCAAAATTGAAGTGAGACAAATCATTTGACATTTCCCGGCCCTAAATCAATGCCTTCTTCCTGGTTTGACGTGTTCAACTTGACAAAACAATTAGTTTAATTAAGCGACCTGCATGTCTAGAACTCAGACATATTACCAATAAGCACACGTGTTAACAGACAATGGTAAATATACAAGTACGTCAGTTTGAGCACATTAGATCAACGTCATGACACTGGAAAAGGTTTTGAGTATCATGACACAATGTATGACATTTTCTAAGATCGCAACTTATGTCAAAACCGTGGAAGTAGCGTTACATAACACACTAAAGTGTCATGTCACAACATGACGTAAAGCAAGACATTTCACAAGATCGTAATTTATGTCAAAACCATGGAAGTAGCGTTACATCACACACAAAAGTATCATGTCACAACATGACGTAAAGCAAGACATTTCACAAGATCGTAATTTATGTCAAAACCATGGAAATAGCGTTACATCACACACAAAAGTGTCATGTCACAAACTGACGTAAAGCATGACGTTTTGTCACAACACATTATCCAAGTCATCGGACATGTTGACTTAAACATGACTGAATGCACAGAACATCTATAATGCATCCTCTTTATCACCAAGGGCTTTCAGTAATCCTACACTAAACCTCTTGAGCCATTCCCATTGTCCCTGTTACCCACCCTCGGTTTTCATTGCCATTTTAGCAACCAATTTAACCTTGACATTAAGAACAGAGAAACCATCACCTAGAAACCAAAGCCACCAACTGTTATTATTTGACAGTAAGACATCCAGTTTTTCAATACTGAATTTCTCAAGAACTTCGAAATCAAAGGGACTGGCCTCCATGTTAATACTGTCAACCCAACATTGAGGCTGGTTTGTAAGTCACATTGTGTTGGGCATGTAAGAGGTAAAAATAGCAAAAGGACATCAAGTTATGGTAATTTGTCCTCATAAGAACCACAGAATGGATTCAGAGTTAGTGTAGGTTTACGGAAATAAAAGATGTATGATTTGGGAGATATAGAGGATGCTAACAATGTTTCAAGACTTTATTCAATGCAATAACACGAGACATGACTAACGGTTTATGCAAGGTGATCTGTCGGGACACAATGTTGTAACACAGTCCTGTGTAATAATATTCAAACATACAATGCTGTGATGCATCATGTGACCAAATTTACATAACACGCAACATGTAAAACTCCGCAACCAGTCAAAGTTCATCATGTGCCAAATGCCACTATGAAGCTCAAATGAAGTACATGTTGAGAAAACCCAAAACGACAGTGATGACAGTTATTACCAATCACGATGTATCTTAGAATTGTCTCCCGGAGATTTAATTTGTTGTTTACGCTGTCCTCAGCAATATTCCTGCCATATGATGGCCGTCTGTACATAATAGAATCTGGACCAGACAATCCTGTGATTGATATCACAGGCATCAGTCTGTGCAATAGGACACCATGGAGATTGATATAATGCTACCTTGAACAGTACTTCACTGAGTGTATGTCTCAATGGATCCAGAAAGGCACCAGGTACAGATGCTGAACACTTTGCTGAAACTGATGTGCAGATGTGACGCAGACAAAACAAGGTTGACAAACTTGATATCTGAACATATCAAGCTGGAACCAGTGTGAAGGGCACTAACATGGAAATCCTAGGATGTTTTCAGATTCTTCAACAAGGTGAAACATCTTACTTAAGATACGTAGGGGGAATTGATTGCCAAATGTTTTAACAAGAATATTATTTTCTATGTTGGCGCTAAACTGCCATCATGGGTGGATACAGATAGATTGTTTTGTTCCTTCTTCAACAATCCACATTTTTCAGAGATGTTCACAGTGAAGTGTTGATATTAGTTTGTTCAATAGAAGGACTAATTACACCTGATATCAAAGTAGCCAACACCCCCCAACCCTCCTAAAGAACACCCTCACAACAAAACAACCCCACAGATCAATAGCTCTCTTATTACGCTATACACAATCATAAATAGGATAAAACGAATTATTGTCTACTCATTCTATCATGTTCAACATGCTAACTAGATCTTATCTGCCCTGGGCTTACAACTAACCACTGTAAGCCTTCACTGTCGAAAACGACCTTTGTGAATTCCACAAGCACCACAACATGAAAACAACATTAATTCAAAAAGCACCTCATTAAAATCCTTTTTTGTTGGAATTAATGCTGTTCTGGTGATAAATGTTTTCACAAATTCTAGTACATCTAAGGTAAAGAAATAAAACATGATAGTTCTCAGTTATCTTTGATGCAAAAATACATTGTATGGTAAAACAAATAGAAAGGTTTGGAAATGGATGGCATCATGTCAAAAGAAATACAAATAACTCATGCTGACTGTCATGACTAGTAGAAAATCTCTACTTCCTTCAAGGATGTCGGTTCCCCTCAAAGCGGAATTGTTGGGACAATGCAGGGCATGGACTTGGGGATACTCAGTCATCAGCAGGACTTGGAGAACCACTCCTTTCTTTTTCGCTTCTTGCAGGGGATGAGGCTCTTGAGGCATCAGACTCACCCCGATCATCTTGCTCACCATTTGTTTGTTCAACAGATTTACTTTTTGAACGACTTTTGGATTTAGAGCGACTTTTAGACTTGCTAACCGATTTCTTTTCAGACCTGGAAACAGAAATGGACCATACCTAATCATGCTGTCAGCATTACCTTGTCTCTGTCCAAATAGTGGAAACTACAGCCAAAATGACAGATACACACAAGACAAGACCTTCCTGACAATCTATGCTACTTCCCCAACCCAAGACTATCAACCCCTGGATGCTGAGGGTGTTTTTAACGTACATCTTTACAAAGATACTGGATCTACATACGGCTGTAATAATTACATTGAGGTGTAGAATATTACATTTCCTATCCAATGGTGTAAAATAGAAAATATGGATGTGGTTTGAAAAACAGACACTGTTAAGCGGCCTTCACACGCCAAACTAAAATTTGACAACACATGTTGAAATTTCAAAAGTTGTCTAAGTTGCGTTTTCACACGTCAAACACATGTCAAACTTTCGTGTCATTTGAGCGCCATGATTCTATCGGTGAGGTCACGTGACAATTGCGTTCACTGTGATTGGTTGTTTCTAAACAACACGAGTTTGACAACACTTCACACGTCACACTCGAGTTTGACAACACCGAAAGTTGGATGGAAAAGTTGGTGAGAATAGAGACCGATCCTACTTCTCAACAACAGTTTGACAACTCTGAAACTGGTGTTGGTGGCGAGTTGTTGGAATGTTCACACTCTCAAACTCGAGTTTGATAACATTTGCCGTGTGAAGGCCGCTTTAAAAGTCTTCGGAAAATCTGTTATGCATTACAAACAAATGATTTCACTGCTTTACATCGTACACCAATACAAGAACAATGTTTTAACTTGGCATCTTTACGGAAACTGTGAGCGAGCCAAATACTTCCTGATACCTGAACATCATAAGGTTATACATTAAATATATACTTAACAGCAAACGAAATGTAAGTCTGGCGTATAGCCACCTTGAGTTTGCACACAGGCCGTTCAACGTTGAGTTCACTAGAGTCTTAAAGAATGCCTGAGGCTATTGGTTCCGCTCAAACACCAATCTCTATACCAATTGCGGAAGTGTGAGTGGTTGTCTACCTGCAGCAATCCTCCGTCCAATTTTGTGAATGTTCAATTGGAGCCATTTCCGGGGAAAGAGACGACCATGGAAAAAACGTTAATGTTGTTCTGAGCCAGACAATCCATCGACACCCTTGCTGTGTGAGGGCTGCAAAAAGTCACTGGCGTTGACGTGCCAAAATTGGCCACACATATGGCCTTTGGCAGTGGATTCTAGCAGCCCGAAGACGACACCTAATCGAATCGCTTGGCACTGCTCCCCTTGACCGAAGAACTAAGGATGCTGTTACTGTTGCTGCTTGAGTTCGGTTCCTTAGATGAGGTGACCCGGATGAACCGATCTTGCGCATGAGTTGTCACTCGTTGCCGTCCGGTACGGGGATGATCAGCAGCAACCCCGGTTTGCTGATGACGTTGAGCAAGTCGTGTAATGGTGGTAAGATGACAGCTCAATTGTCTAGCTACAGCGTTTTCAGAGCAACCTCCGTGCAACTTTCCAATGGCCATTCCCCTCTGCTCAGTCGTTAGTCTAGGCATCGTTTGTGTGGCGTGTACACCACCCAGCGTCAATACTGAACTGTTTTTTTACACAAACCTTAAAAAAGGATACCTCAGAGTGAAATGCATGCCTTTCATCCAGAACTGTCGATGCACGTGCTAAAATTATGGTTTTGCTGCACTGTTGGTGTGTTTGTGCGAATGGTTCATATGGACGTCAAATTGCATGACATCCTCTCATCTGTGATCATTACGTCACTTTACCATGAACGTTCCATAAACATGAACGCTTACCTTCATGAGCTTTCATTTTTTCGAATCTTGCGTTTCTTTTGCTGTTCAGTATATTTTAAAAAGCCCGCCACAACTGAGGAAACTTGATTTCCCCTCTAGGGCATCAAGCAATGTCATAAAGAAAAAGCAGAACAACTCTGCTATGTATAAGATGCCTCTTACAAAACCAGCAGGTTATATGACAGCAGAGGCCCTGATAAGCTGCGTATCCGGGTATAATACGCTTAGAAAATGTCCAATTACGCACTGAAAAATAATTGTTGCGTACCAATTGCGCATTTAAAATGTTAGATACGCAAAATGTTTAAAACAAATGCGTACCGAATATATTTATAAAAATCGCTTGCGTAAGGAAAAGGACATCGATTGCTATCAAGTTGAACTGTTAGTATAGGACTAGTGTTGTACTGTCAGTATAGGATGAGGGATTTTTAATGAAATCATTTCCATTATATTTAAGTTGGTTTTGATTAGGTATGACATAAGGTAGAACATACTTGCTTAGTAAACTTACTCAATGACATCATACTTAGGTGAGTAAAATGACTGAAATACAAACATATTTGAAAGCAGTGGGTAGCGGAAAATGAAGTACCCACTCAACATGCATAATACCCACTCCCAAAAAGTACAGTGGGTACAGTACCCACATGAGCTAAATCTTATTTTGAGCTCTGGCATGAGACACATTCTAACTCAGAAGCCTCATGATGTCTGATACAGAGTGAGTGAGTTTAGTTTTACGCCGTTTTAGCAATATTCCAGCAATATCATGGCGGGGGACAACAGAAATGGGCATCACACATTGTGCCCATGTGGGGAATCGAACCCGGGTCTTCGGCATGACGAGCGAAGCCCTTAACCACTAGGCTACCCCACTTCCCCAGTATGATACAGAGTCCTTGTGATGAACACACAGAAAGGAAGATTCCTCACCTGCTTCGAGAACGACTCCGTGATGCTCTCCTCTTCTTGTCCCTGCTACGACTTCTGCTACTGCTGCTCCGGCGACTACGTTTACTGCGTCTGTCACGGCTTCGGCTGCGACTTCGACTCCTCTTCCTCCTGTCTCGACTCCGACTTCTTCGAGATCGGGATCTAGATCTGGATCGGTAGCTGGAAGGAGAAAAACTTGAGTCAGTTCACCCTCTAAAAGCTTGAATACTCAGATCTGGTGGAAAACTAATTCTTACCTGCATCTTAAAAGGGGATTCTTAGCACTACTGGTAGTATCATAACACTGATAAGTGACACAACA